GACGTCCGCCTCGAGGCTATGCTTGCAGTAGATGCTCTTCTTGAGCTGGACAAGATGTTCCGTGAAGAGTTCGGCAGTGCCTTTGAGGCTGGCGATTTGGACGAAGTGGTCATCGTACGACCGGACGAGGAGCTAAAGTCGTCATCGCTTATGGATGAAGCTGTCTTGGAGGTCACCAAGAGAGTGCTGAACGCACGAAGTGAATCGTTGATCCTACGGAATCCCTTGGATCCGTACTATTTTTGGTAAAGGAATTTCAAGACGTCGTCTCCAAAGACTCGCCTTCGGTCCTACCTCCGGACCGAGGTGTGCGTCATGAGATCGACCTGGTTCCGGTAACCACATACTGCGTAACACGCCAATGGCCCCTGCTCAAGGAGCAGTGCAACGTCATTGACACATTTTTCCGTGCGCAGCACGACGCAGGGATGTTGCGTGAGAGCAAGCCTCCCCATTCGACACCCACGTTTTGTGTTTGGAAGCCGAACGGCAAGTGAAGTGTCGTTTATGCTTACAATAAGCTCAACGCTGCCGCCATTCCGGCACAGACGCCGATTCCTAGAAAGGATGTTCTTCAGAACAACATGGTGGGATGTACGAAGTATAGTGCACTCGACTTGGTCGATGGGTATTACCAATTGTTCATGAGAGCGAGTGATATTCCGCTAACAGTGGTGAGCACTTCGAGCGGCATGCTCTGGGGGTGGCTGGTGATACCCCAAGGGCTGTCCAATGCACTAGCAATATCGTCTCGTGGCGCAGTTGTTCAGGCCCCACAAGGCGTATGCACAGACACACTTTGACGACATTTTCGTTCATCGTCGTGCGGAACACGGGAGGACAGATGAGGAGAGTCACATCGTTCATTTAAGAGCGGTGCTTGAGTATATGCACACGAACAAATCGTACGCCAATGCAGACAAGTGCATCTTTGGCGCAGAAGAGAATACCTTTTTAGGGTGCTTCATTGGGAAGCGTGGCATTTGAGCCGATCCCGCTAAGGTCAAGGCCATTGTAGACTGTCCA